TGAAAGATTGGCATGGACTAAATCAAACTTCCTACAATTTATGAAAAACAATTTTTTTTTCAAGTTTTCACTAATATTTTAAAAATTTATATTCAAATTACCTTAATGTTAGAATGATTATAAGGAGTACTGCTAAACCAAGCAAGATTCCCAAAACGATTATCAAAGTTGGAGTATCTTTCGTTTTACAGTTTCCACCATAACCGTTATTTGTTATTAGAATTTCCGCAGTCGTAGACAGTGATCTTGAGGTTATGCCATTTTGTGTATCGTTCACCAAATTACCAGATTCTGTTGCAGTCGGTTCATTCTCTGAAGATATTTTGTGATAGATTGCGTTAGATGTGGTGTGAATAATATTCCTTGCTGTAGTTTGTTAAATCCCTAAAAACAGTACAATTTTGTTTTTGATGGTGAATTTATTTGTTGTATTACTTTAATCAAGTTTGTTGAGGCTGCACAAATAGGTACAGTTCAAGTTTTATTAAGGACTTTATTTGCGTATTGTCATTAGAGATGTACCGATACCACTTTTATTGCCGATACCGATCCGATACCAACTAAAAACGTCGATAACAATACCGATACGCCGATATTACAAGAATGCCGATGTTTCCAATATTCCGATACCGATACTATGTAAATATTACCTTAATTAAGTTTGCTGTGTGGCGAAAAGATATTAAAACAATGGTCTTTGAGCGTTATTCATAGTACACATTATCTCAGATTGAAAAAGAGATACCGGTATATCACATAAGAAATTGATGTTTGGTATCCGGATGAATTAATTGATTCGGATGCATTGTACACTGACGCTAGAAATCTCGGTGTCCAATTAGAAAACTCATATGCCGAGATGTCCAATTCTAATTTAATATTAATATCGCGACCTTCAAATATCGTTTTTCGTGTTTAAACGAATATTAAATATATTCAAATATTTTATTTTGTGTTTAATCGTGATCGTCGCGGCAATAAATTGCATCCAAAATGAAAGGATATCAATCAGCGCCGATTAGAAGTATCTATAACACGTATAATACTAGGCGGCCACATTCATAAATTTATAAAGAAATTGTGTATTTGAACAAAATTAAAATAATCACAATATTTAATACCTGTGTAGAGAGATAATTGCGTCGGAATTTAGCCTAACGATGTCGATGGACTGAATGATACTCGCGCTTGACGATAAACAGAATTTATAACTGTGCCAAACAGTGCATGTTCTGTAAAAAAGAATTCGATTCCACTGTATAATTTAAAACTGAGCGCCTAGTTGCTCTCTTTTCTGTGCCGTGTTGATATATTTCTTCATAATTAATATGTAATATGTAATAAAAATGTCAATATAAAAAGTTGGCAGCGAAAAAAGCCAAATTAGATGAGCTGGTTCTGCTAGTAAATATTTAAAAACAGGTGAATCATATTCCCGGTACCACTCGCGGGGGGTGTAGACATGCATGGCTCATAGTTCCCGATCTCTCCAGACAAAAAAATTAATTAAAAAAGTAATATTTTAACTTGCCTTTCAAAACATTCTGGATCATATCTAAAAGGTAAATATATCGGAAATATCGGTATTAATTCAGCCGATACCGATACATGGCCGATACCAACAAAATAGCTGATATTGCCGATACCGATACATCAGTACATCTCTAATTGTCCTATTAAATTCCGGTTTTATTTCATTTAATCAAGTTTGTTTTTTTGAAACCAAAAATATTAGTAATAGTAATTTGAAGTTGTTAGACCTGACGGAGTCACAAAATACAATGCTTTATTTCAATTTTGCACTTCTTGCGTATTGAGATAAAACCCAATTATGTTCAGTTTTTATTGATGTAAACTCTTTTTAAATTCGAGTATGAGCATATATCAAGAAATCGCCTCTCAATTAGAGTATTTTATAAAAAAATATGGTATTAAATATTTGAAAATTTCCAATTGAAAAACACGTTTGTTTCGTATTCGATAAACTAAAATTACATTTCCTATTGTATAAGAGATTATTAACTAGTTGAGTATGCCAATGTATTGTATTTTCAAAATAATGTTTAAACTGTTCTATTCTACAGAATTGGCACAATATAATATTGTTGCAGCACAGCAAGCAAACAAATTACTTCTTTTTAAGTATTATATGTTTACAGTTTTTGCAGCTATAATATTTTCTACTTCAGATTACTGCAGAATATAATACGATGAACTCAAGTTGAAAGAGACTAATTTATTTCGCTTATACTTAATTTGTTGCTTTTACCTGTGTTGTCTAATATCCCGTATATATAGATGTTGAATTCTTGTAATTCAGAAGAGTAACTAGCCCCTGTGTTATATGTCACATTAATAGGAAAAACATTATCTCCAATGATATGATGGTGTACCTCATTACATCCGTCAGTAATAGATTCATCAGATACAGTTTTTGAGGTAAAAAGGTAACAGTTGTTGAGTTTGGAACCACACAGTTCTATATCCACTGATTCAGCTGGAACATAATGAAATGGGTATCTTTACACGATAGTACATGATAATACCTCCTATAATTTACCATATACGACACTAATGTGAGTATCGGGTCCTAATTCCACATATTATATTCGATATTTTGGTTACCTACGTAGAAATCTCGGGAAAAACAGCAAATCTCAGTATCAGCAGTATCTTTCGTTTTAATAAACAAATAAAACGATACATTCTATTACTGTTTATATGATAAATGACGGGAACATTATCGCTTGTAGTTTTGAGGGAAATGCTTATTTTTGCGAAGTTTGAAATACACAACTGAGACTAACACATTTGTAATTCCCAATTAACGCAACATGAGATCATAAAGACAACTATTAAACTATTAAAACTAGATAAGTAGTGCGTTTATGCGACGTATAACACGTAAACCTGTTTCGAGAGAATTAGCCACATGATGAAATAAAATTACTAGGGCACAAATTAATCGAAACAAGCCTTAAAGGCGGATACAAAATTGTATTTTCATAATAAATAAAATTTGTTTGATTGTTATAAATAAACACAAGAATGTATTTATATTGATTACCAGTCATTTTCAGAGATCCAATGCATTGACTGTTTTGATTCAGATTATTTTCAATAATTTTAACTAACAAGACGTTGTTAACAGATGTGCAGCTATCGGTTATTAATTCCCAAATACTGTGAATATCCCCTGTTCTTCTGAAAAATAAAATTTGAAAATGACTATTTAAACTATATTTTCATGTTCATATACGGCTGGATTATCATAAAATTTATTTCAACATTTTAAAAGTTTATCAAAATAAAATTTTCCTATATTTTACATCGTTCTGTTGAATATTATTCATGTTAAAATTATACTTTATAGGATTGTTGTTTTATTTGTATCAATTTTCATCAAAATTTAATAAATTAAAAAAATAGACAAATGTTTACTTTACAGTTGCTTTTGATTCAGGTGTAGAACATATATCAACGTAAAACTGACTCTGACCAATAGATCGGTGAAGTATTGCTGCCACTAACGGGAAACAAAAAGAAGATTAGTTGTGTTAAATAATTTTCTCCAGAACTTGCAAGTCGTAAATCCGCTCTAAAGGTTTGAGTTTCAAATACGCGGAATATTATTGAAGTTGACTACGTTGGGTATACATAAAGTTAAAATGCAAGTGAAAATGTATGAAATGAACTATCTTACTCAGTACTAATTAGTTATATCCCTGAAAAAATCAAGTTATAAAACGCTGAAGTCACGAATTTCTAAAAGACTCAAAACCTCGATGGAATTGTAAAATTCATATCACTCATTCTAAAAAGTTTCGGATTTATTCAAATTTAAATGAATCATTTTAACTCAACAAATTCATTCCCTGTACGTATTGAAGTAAACAACACCTATCCGCTTATATACATTAGTGAGAGTCACCAATGAAAAATGACATGGACTTTACATTTACTAACCTATAATAAACAATACCCGCACAAAGAAATGCATGTTTTTCAAATATATCAGTTGCCGTCTCTTGCACATACACCGAATAGATTTATTTGGTTATCCCAAGGTATAAATTTGAGAACGTAAAGGTCGGCCAAGGCAATAGCTGTTACGCATGCGTTCATCACAGTATTCATGTACCTATTCATTTATTACGTGTACTAAAGTGATGAATATTATTTGCCAAATGCAGATTAGTAATTGTAAAGTACGCCCGATGTTAATTGGTAATACGTGGGATCACTTCCGCTTGTACAGACGATCACCTGCAACAGTTTACTAAGGTTGGTTATTTGAAATCATGATCTGACTAATGTAATTCCGTGATTGAGAGGGTACCTTTCGAATAACTTGAATTGTTTATATTGCTAATATGCTTCCAAACACTATTTGCGACTTTAAAAAATCATTCAGAATACTCTCAACGAATTATTTATTGAAAATAAAAGGATCAAATGACTAAACAAGAGAGCAATGCTAAAATATAGGGACATGAACGTCAAAACCCACACCCACAATTCCTCAAAACTATATTCTGAACGCTGGAACTAGGGACGGCTGCCATAAATAGGTTTAGGTGTAGTTTAGTGGGTGGGCGTGTTGTAATAATTTTTGTATATGCCATTCCTGAGACCCACCTGACTACGTCATCACAACGTTACGTCACAACTACGTCATAAACATGTAATAGAGCTTGCCAAAGCCAGATACCTTCCAGATACCTACCTAAACTGTTGCTTCACAAAAAAGCAAACGACAATATGCTGGAGTATAGTCACTGAATACATATAAAAATTCACTTCCGTTTAATTGTGTTTTAAACTTCATTCACGATTATTCTGCTTTTAAAATATGATCATACAAGAATTCGCGCATAAAATGTGTAAGACAGAAATAAAATTGAAGACAGAAATTCCTATAAAATTACAATTAAATCTAAATCTAGTTATAATCTGACGCTTACATTGTCTATGGCTCTGATACATCTAAACTTAAAATATTACAAATTATCTTTCACTTTTATAATTGGCATTTCACAAGGTATATTACGATGTGATTTATTCACAAAGCTTACTAGAATTTACAAGTAAACGTAAATTTTATCAATAAAAATCTGTATATGCCTCCACATCAAAATTAAACTAAAAAGTGGAAAAGGAAAGGATATTGAATGAAAAAAGTAAAATGTCCTACAGTTGAGTATGTGTTTAACATGGGAATGTATATAAGATGTCTCTGATGTGTGATTTGTAATGCATTTTCTTTTCGAATCGTCCATACTAGAGGTCAAGTCAAGTTTATTTTTTTCCAACCAGTAAAAGACAAAAATCATAATAAAAATTGAAAAATAAAATAAAATATTATTTACATCACTTAAGGAGGAAAGCCACGGGAACCAAAACTAGTTATCGAACAGCGACACCCAAAAAGAGAATCAAAAGTAAACTATGCTCGCGACTGCGCCAAGTGATCACTGACTTTGGAAAGATACAATGATGCAAAACAAATAAATCGTTATACAGTTAATTTAATATTCAATGTCATAATAATGGTGTAAATTTGTCGGTTCGTATTCAGATGATCCATCAGGTTGTTGCAATGAATTGCTCATCAAGTATCCCATTTGACGTATTGGATCGGGATGTATAGCCGCGTCAAAATGATCGTCTGAAATAGGTATTTCGTATCCAGAGGTCGCGGCTTGTATAGCTGGTTGTATTCGTTTATTAACGATATTGCTCTCATAAATGTTTCGATCATTTTTAATCTGAGCTCCTGGAAAACTTGCGTTATGCACATTTGTTTTTTCAGTGTTCTCGGAAGTTGAAGCAATCTTGTATTCTCGCTGTCTAAATCAAAATGAATATATTTTGTAGTATGTTTACATATAGGTTTAATGCCGAATTCGGGTACAGTAAACGCAATATTCACAGCCGGATCTAAATACGCATACGAAAAACAAGAGTGCAATTCATTTGACGAGAATTTGCCAGCTCCGAGCAAGAACATTGTGATCGTGAGCAGTGTATATTCAATATTCAATTTGAATCTTACCTGATAGAAAAAACAATAATGATGCTAACTGCTATAATGAGAAGCATGCCAAGTACAACAGTAGAGACGAAAAAGTATTTCTCGAATTTTCTGCCAAATTCGTCGCTACTACTGGTTGGTTTTTTTATTTTCCTTGTTATCGCATCCACTCCAGTTGGCGTATCGGTGTTAATGATTGTTGGTCGAGGGCTACTTTTCATGTGTCTCGTTGCGTTTGTGAACTGATGAATGTTTTCTTGGGTATTTTTTTTCTCATCACCTTTAAGTATTTATTGAAACGTATACTTAATCCAAGCTGTCATATTAACAAAAGTCAATAGATCATGCGAAACATCAACTAAATAGATTACGAGTTTAAAGAACGTTACCAACAAATTCCAGACTTTATGTAGCTCAATATTTTCATTTTTATCAACTAGTCAAATACAGAATAACGCCACAATTCACAAAAATCAAGAAAACGTGTATAAAAATGTCAATACAGAATTTCGTCATAAGACGATACACGATAATTTAATGAGTGTCAAACAACATATAACCATTTAGTTTACAGGCAAATCAGGATTACGCTTTCGTATTTCATTATTACATCGCTATGTACCTGTTTTGTTAATCATCTCGTATGTCATCGACCCAACAGTAAAATATTGCAGTTGGTCAGAGAAACCATTCTCAGTCTTATATGTCAGAGTTATTGGATATAGATTATCTTCAATACGAGGAAATATTCTACCACATCCCTCGGTAATAAACTCATTAGTCACATTTTTCGAAGTAAAAAGAAAACAGTCGTTTGGTTGGGAATAACAGAGTTCTGTGTTGATTGATCCAACTAAAAATACGAAGTATTTTATACAAATAGAATGATAAACATTGAAAATATCTCATATAATAGATAATATCCGATTTTAATATAGTTTAACATATTACTTCCGATACTTTAGCTGCCTACATTTTGTTCATTTTGCCTACCTGCAATTTTCAGAGATCCCATGCAATGACTGCTGTTTAGTGCCAAATTATTTTTGGTAATTTTTACTACCGATACACTGTTTGCTGATTTGCATCGTTCGACTCTGAAATCCCAATTACTGTGTATATAATTTTCCTGTCTGTATAATAAATATTCAAATAAACTATTCAAATTTTTTCGAGTATATTCGTCTAAACAATCGTAATATTTGATTTGATTATTTGTCAAAGTTTATTCTGAAAAAAAATTTAATCTGTCTTATAACACTCATTTATTTCTTCTTCATGTTAATTTTTTTTATATATGAAATAGGATACTTTTTAAGATTTTTCCAGATTTTATCAGAAACATTAAGCAAAACTCTTACTTTACAAATACTGGTGAATCAGGTACAAAACATAAGTCATAGTGCATCTGCTTCTGTCCACTACAGTGGTGAAGTATTGTTGCCACTAAAAGTGCATAAAAAGAAGTTACGTTGAATAATTTCCTGTTTAACTTGCAAATCGTAAATCCGCTACGAAGAGTTTAAAATTCAAATATATGGTATATTTTTGCAGAAGACATAATATGTATATCTATATGAGGTGGAAAATTCAATTATTTTTTCTATACATATTCTTTAGAGAAAACACAAATCCCCAAAAGTCTTTCAATTTCAAAGGCTAGAAGGCTTTGAATTTATTTTATTGAGAGTGAAAAATTTTAACTCACCAAATATATTCAGTTTGCCTAGTGAGCCCACTCATATACACTATAAAAACTAACAAATGTAAAGTAATATATAATACAAATTACTTACCCATAAGTAGAAATACAAGCTCAAATCGATGCATGCTCCTTCTAATTTGCCTCCTGTTATAGTTAATACAACGAAGAACTATTCGATATTTTGTTTTAAAACATAAAACTTGGCCACGATAACAGTTGTTACGTGCGCATCAATAAGACTTACTTATTCATTAATTACGCACGTATAAATGGTAAGACTTACTTGCCAATTGTTGCCACGCTATATACGTATACGATGTTAAATTAGTAATTCATAGAACAAACTTCCTTGTATATGGGCCATTAACTAACCTTTAAAAGTTTTGGCAAATTGTGTGTGTAAAAAATGAAATGAATAAAAGTAATTTATGTTTTATCTTAGTTAGAATCAATTGATGAAATTGCAAAAATTATGATATGTGTTCCTCATACCAAACTTTCCTTTATTAAAATGATCTCACGGATTTATGATTATTCAAATCAATCTTTCCAATCACTCCACAGAACTTATAAAACATGTCTTCGGTATAACATCACGAATCTTTACGTCTTTTCAAGAAACGAATGAACGGTTTCTGTAAAACTCCTATTTGCAAAGATTCAACTAATCTGTTTTTACTCCATATTTATGTTTTTAGATATATCGAAAATATATGAAATTTGTGAATTCGTATAAATAGTCATTTGCATATACGAGACCTCTTCAATGGTTAAAACGTCCCAGGCTTTAACAAATGCTACCCACAACGTGTTAGAAAGAATCTTGTCGAGTCTGTCGAATCGTGGAGGTGCTTTGATAACACGTCAAGTGCTTTATGGAGAGTTCACATCTCAAATAGTTTCCTTCGACCCTCGAAGCTCCCGTCATTCGGAAAACTGGGAATCCTGCTAACATGACAAGGTATGACTATCGAATTTGCCATTGGTTTGCACAACTCATTAAGTGTTGATTCACACTAAACAATAAGACATTTATGAACATTTGCCAACAAAGACAAGAGAAAATTTATTGCATTTTGGTTGAGTATTACTTTCGAATCTTTTGTAGAAAGCCCCCGTAAAAAACACATCCCCTCCCCCGCACAAAAAAATTAAAAAAAATTAATTTTCCAGTTAGAACTAGGATTAGGAATACGGATTGCGAAAAAACTCAAATTATTAAATCATTCCTAACCCTAACCCTAAACACTAACTCAATAATTAGTATTTTTTTTAAAGGGGCGTGGATGTTTATTTAAAATCTAACATTTTTGCATTAGTGTTTATGTGATATTTTTGCAAAATATCCTTCCTTTCAATGCAGTTGTTGCAAAACCCGCTTTTTTAATTATACTGTATTACCACACTGGAAACGCACCATCAACCCACCCATCTCCTCTTACTCCACAGGAAGTCATCGTGATCTATGATTGGCAATTGAGATAATTAAGAAACATTGAAACGCTTAAAGGAAATACTTGAATGATTCAATTCAATTTTCAGTATTATTGTTTTGATTCCATTACATGCAAAATATTTTCAGGTGTTAATCCAAGCCTACTTTCACAACCAACCGTTTCTGAATCAGCCATGATTAAGTAGAATTAATTTCCCTTTAGTAGTGGAATACGCTACTCCAAACAAATCTAGTACTACTAAACCCGGCCATGTCATAACTTTTGTCAATATGAAAAATAAGTTGATGAAATTCGAATGTTTTGAATCGACCTTATCGATGCAATAATTCTGGCAATGAGAGGCAAAATTCCAATATATTTTCATACCAATACTACTTTAATCGAGGGATACATTTGGTAAAAAATGCTGAAAAAATAGAATTTCTTCTCACATAACACAATTTTTGCATATCATTTTATTGAAATAAATCGTTAAATTCAAATAAAGTCGATCAAAATTCAACAAATAACAAGATAATAAGGAATTTCTATAATATATTCAAATGTTAACATTTCTTTATTAAGTATCTTCTCGTTTTGGATGTTTCAGACCATGTTTTTTAACCATTGACTTTGACAGTTCTATCATCTTGTCCAATAAACTTGACAGATATCCCAAACTCTCTGAACATAAAAAAGGAAATATGCTAAATTTTTCCTAAATATTACTGAAATAATAATAGATAGTTGTTTTGATTGTTAATAATGAATGAATGAATATGAATAATAACCCGTTATTAATGCACTTAACAATATTGTATAATTAAATCCAGGCAATAATCTTGTTGGAAATTTTCTATCTTTGATTAGTTTTGTACATAACAAGAAGTTGAATATTTTCAGCCGTTTTTCAAATATATAATTATTAAAACACCAACCCTTGTTAAAATAATCTATTTCTGATGTGTTCGTTAAATCCGGAGAACTTGTGTCTATGAGGAAATAAAAGAAATTATAGCAAATCACAATGATCAGGTCAAAGCGCTAAGACCATTCATTGAAATTTTGTCATATTTGATTTTGACTAATGTAATATTTGACTGATCTAATCATAATACCTCGAAGAATTATCAGCTATGCTCAAATATATGGACACGAATGTCAAATGAGTGATGTCGGGGCGCTTATGCGACCCACGCAGAAATTGCTATCTGATCATTCCATTTCAAATTATTAACAATGTCCGACCAACGCATCTCTGACGCATCCAAATGTGAGATCATAACAATCTACAATTGTACCTGCATAGTGATGCTGACCTGGATTTATCGACAATACGGCGAACTATCCAGACGGAATGACAAGTTATCAAATTATATCTAGCAATAATATATTGACCACCCAATCATTACTATCCTTTGTAAAATTACAAAAAAATATATGAATTGAAATACAAGCTTTTTAAATATTTTAGTCTCATATTTAGGTACACTGTTCAAATTTCAGCTCATTGCGTTTTTAAGTGCTTGATATAAAGTCATAAAATGAATTTACTATATCAAGTTTCAATACCATATGCGAAAAAATATAAAATGTCAATTTGATGGAAAATTGATTTCAAAGGCAAATTTGTTATATTGATTTATCAATACCGATATTATTTTGAGAATGAACACGCTCCGCCATAAAGTATCTTCCGATCAAATAAATGTTCAATAACCTTAAAAAATTTAAGACTTGATACATACCTCCATCCAAGTATTTTGAAGCCAAAGCATGATTTCCATCACCCAGAAGGAAAAGACATACCAAACATAACAAAATTGAGCTTTTTAAATTAATAACTGATAACATGATACGGCATGTATTTCCAATGAACTCTCCAATGTGGGCTTATCACTAAATAAAATTACGTTTTAATAAGCAGGTAGCATATACAGTACCATAAAATTAGAAATATATCAACTACCCTTTGGCAGCAAATTTGGCAGCTGCAATGTACATCATATGGTTTGAAACAAAATATTGAGTTTTAATGTTTCCTATTGACGTCAGGAGCATTTCTGTATGTGCATCTGTATGTGTATCTGTTCTGTAACAATTGCACAACATATGTTGGGAAATTCATTAAAATTGGCGCACTGGGAGTAATTAATAAATAATATATATAGTAATACAAACATACATAATAATACACACCCTGCATGAACATATATTTATATATATATATATATAAATCAGAGGGGGGGGGGGCATTTTTTATGAGAATCAGCAGTTTTAACATTCTATTGGACATTCATTTTGGTCAATTTTTAATCCTCTTCAGTCATCAGTATAAAATTGTTCGAGATTACAAAACAATGTAACCCAAGACAATACGAAACATTTCAATTCAATCTTTTGTTAATAACCATACGATATAATTTTTACTGCCAATATGTTTGACAATATTGACGGAATTCTGCTACAACTTGATATACAAATAATACCTGTTTATGAGAATATGATTCATACGATAAATACCTCAAATCTAAGACGTCCTTTGAAAACGATTGCTGCATTATGTCATCAACAAATTACTCGATATATTTAACGCTGATATGTATTGCATTTGCAAGCATCTTTGGTAATGGGAATCATGCTTTACCTGCAAAATTATTTGACGGAGGTACGTATAGAGTTTTAAATTTTATAGGTATATTGAAAAAGATATATAGGTGAAAATCTACGGTCAGCGTTTTAAAGTATTTTTTATGCTTTTGAACCATGAAGCGGACGATAGAGCAGCTCGACACGACAAATGGATAGTGAAAGACAATTTTGTCATACATGTTAGGTTATTTTGTTTTCTATCAAGTGACTCAGTTTATATCAATTAAAAGTAGATTAGTCAAGAATTTAAACAACATAGAATACCAAGTAACTTATAGATTTTGTTTTATGATATCATACAACAAGAGATAAAACTGATTAGAAAATTATCACATTAATCTTCGATGATATTATTATTAAAGTGTTCTCAATCAAATAAAAAAGTTGTTTTATTCTTGGTCTCATTCAACCACAGACTCAAGTTCTACTGATTTAACAACTGCAACTTCTTCGACCCTGCCAGGCACTGGTTAGTAAAAATATTAAAAGTAATAATGATATGATTTTGAAAATTGGAATTAATAAAAATATAAAGAAATAAGAGTTATTCTTATTTATTTAGATCTAGTTTTGAATATGCATTAATTTTATTCGTTAAGTTACAGACACAAGTTCTACTGATGTTACAGGCACAATTTCGTCGACTTCAACTAGCACAGGACAGTACAAATATTTGAAACCAAATCCAGTATAATTTATTTGATGTTTAGAATTAGACCTAATAAAATGAAAACATATTTTTATATAATTTGTATGTTATAATTTGTCTGTATTTATTCTCATTTATTTTATCAGATAAAAGTTCGACTAATCTGGCAAGTACATCGGGAACAGAAGTGTCTGGGACAGAATCTACGACAGGAACGGGTTAGTATCAGAATTTCATATTTGAAAACTGAAACAATATTAAAACATTTTCAATTAGATAAACTCAAGAGATATACCATTATTTCGACAATTTGAAAACCGCATCAATTAAGTCGAGTTTGTCAAGGGAGTTTTGCTTTTCCTAGAATAGAAAAGACAATGATACGGAGATCCAAAACAATGTATCATTAGTGGACTTATAATATACATGTTTAAGTATATAAAAATAGTTTCTAAATTGTTGC